TGCCAGAGACTTCACAGTCAGTGACTAGAAATAGTACACAAGGTCAGGAAAGGAGACAGAAAGACAGCAAGGTTAGACTAACGCGGAGTCTGGCAGTCACAAAAATTCCCAGGAAGAGCTCTCAAAATCACCGCACTGCTCACCCGTCCTCAGAATCTGTGAAACTGGTGGATGTACTTTTCTCAGAGAAAATCCATTTATATTATTCTGTTTTTAACTCAGCTTCTAGGCTATCTGTGACCAATATTTTTGGTTCTACAGGTAACTGCTTTGGGTCAGACACAGTGAACAAACTGAAAGGACAGGAAGTTGATTCACACCTTAGGTTATCAATCTTGTGAAGCTCAGATCCAAGATCATGGGTCCCTCCACACTTCACATGTGAAGCAGTAAGGTCCAGGGAAGTTGAGGGATCCCTTTGAAAGAGATGATGCTAGGACAAAACCCTGTTGTGAATCATTCCAGTTCAGTTTCTTCCCTGCATGGTTCTGGTTCTACTGTAATGTGAACACATTACTTAATTATGGTGTCTTATACTGTTCATGACTTCATGATATAGTACTGCCAATTTCTTTACTAAATTTCTCTTAAATGTTGGACTTCTGAATGCTGCTTACTACTTCTAAAAGCAAAACAAAAATGTAATACACAATGGACATATACACCTATGAGGTCATATGGCTCAAAAATTGTCACATATGGTTGACTATAGATGGCAATCACTGTAATGGCTAATGACAATATTGCTGAAATATTGGCGACAGTGATATAAAGTGCCCAGACATATTGTATTGTTAGGCTGTGTGTGGTTGCTATACCTGGAGGACCTCCTCTTTTCTGAAGAAAATGGAGGAGTGGATCTGGGAGAGAGTGGAGGTGTGGGGGGAACTAGGAGGAGTGGAGGGAGGAGAAACTAAGTTCAGTATATAATGTATGAGAGAAGAATTTAAAAAAGAAGAAAGTAAAAAGTGCTTGTGACCAAATCTGAGGACCTGCATGATAGAAGGAGAGAAGTAATTCCTACAAGTTGATCTCTGACCTCCATATTCACACCATGGCTCATGCATGCACACACACTCATGCACAAATAAAGGAATAAATGACTAAGAAAATTTTTACAAATCTTTAAAAAGTGTCCTATTGATAGAAATATAAAAATGTGATAGGATGCAAAAACTTGAGGAGTTCCCATTAAAGTAACACTGAGATATGAAAATGCAGCAAAATTGACCTGTGCATCCCAGTTCAGACACTAACTAATGCTGGCCCTTAAGTCAACTCACTTAGCCTTCTTGTGACCTAGATTCTACACCCACTTTTTACAAAAAATAAAAAGAAGTTGAAACTGCTGAAATTAAATAGCCTAACTGCTCCCTAGATATCAAAGAAGGCTCTCAGGCTCTACACAAACTACTCCAGTTGTTGATAATAGTCTAAAACATGAGAATGGTTTGAGTGCAAAAACTGTGTGTGGTAATAGTATAAAATGTCTTTGTAAGAACTACACATGAACTCATGGAGTATCTAACACTGGGGATACATGGAGTAAACAATGTCTTACTCTCATTTTCCAGATGAAGAACTGGGGCACATAGAGATGACATAAATTTATTAATTTAGGGTTGAAAACACAGCTCAGTGATTAAGAGCACTGACTGCTGTTGCAGAAAACCATAGTTCTGTTCCCAGCACCAACATGGTGTCTTCCTATCACCTGTAACTCTAGCTGCAGGGTATCTGAGGCTTTCTTCTGAATTCTGAAGGCACTGCAAGCATATGGTGCACATACAAACAATCAGGCACACACACATACATATGAATAAAAATAAATGTTTGAAACTGCCTAATGTCACACATAGCATGAGTGGAAAAGCCAAGGTTTGAATTCAGTCTCATTCCAGATCACAGACTGAAAACATCATCTTCCACTGGCTCTTTGGTTACAGATTTCCCACAGGGTAACCTAGTCATGATGACAGAGATAGTGTCTTAAGACAAAGAAGAATTATTTCTATTAATAACATCCTATCTGGACCGATTTCTTAGACTATCTCTGATTGTGGAGCACTAATAATCACCTAGTTTGCTTTTCTCTATATTTAGACAATCTTGCCTGAGGTATCTGTGTTCACCCACTCAGGCCTTCCTCCCTGACTGGAATGCCCCTCCAAGAGGCATTTATTTATATAGTTCACATATTCATATCTGTCATTTTTGAATAAATTTCTCTTCCACAAAAAGCAATTTTGACTACCTTCCCTAAAATACTTCAGCCTTTCATTCATGTGCTCAAGCCCTCATATTCTTTTCTCTTCATAGCACTTGCCATTCCCCAAAACCACATTAATAATTTATTTGATAATAACCTTGAGGTCAGAGATTATACTGCCTCGTTAACTACTTTATCTTCAGTGCCTAAGCATGCCAACTATAATGGAAAATGCTCAATAAATATTAAGCAAATGAATTAATTCCTCTGTGCTCCATCATTTTCTGACATTATGATATTCAGAGGGTCAGTGGGGAAGATTTTCATGCTGACCCTGTCAAGGTCTGAATGAACTTATAACTTGCCACCTATTTGTCTTCTGGCAGCCTGCCTGTAATAAGGCCTTTCTTTCCAACTGGAGGCAGAGCGCATTCTTGGTAATGCTGCCTTCTTACTCCTTCCTCCCAGTGATGAGCTGAGATATTTTCACTGGTTTCCTTTCCTGTCGAGAGTCCACATGTTCCTTTATGTCTCATTATCCACTTTTCTTTCATGGAATATAATTAGCATATCTGAGTAGAACTTCATGGAGTCTTTGAACTTCTATTGTGATGCTCTGTAGTTTTTGTTGCCAAAATATAACTGATAATATGTATTTGCTGACCAAGAGTTAACTCATTAGCATTAAACACTATGATAATGACTGCATTAAAATCCCACACCATGTGGAGAAAAGGAATGAAAGCTGCCCCCTACTTCTCTTGATCATAACAATTTTGAAAACCTTCTAGGATCCTCCCCCCCCCCTTTTTTTTTGAGTGACTAGTCTCTTGTCCTCTAGGTATTGTCAATTCATCATTACAGTGATAAGCTGCTGGCTACAACTGAACTTCATTAGCTCAGATGGAAACTTTGGAATAATTATTTTTAAATTCTGCAGTAATTAGATGATGTGCATACATAATATATGGAAAGCAAGACTACTGCTTCCAGCAATAAACTTCTCAATAACAGAAAATCAAATGGAAGCTAACCTAACATGCAGAAGCTGAAAAGTAAGCACTATTTCTTGCAGTATTTCAGAAAAGACACTAAAGACTACCCTTATTTTCTAGAGGCATCAGTTTCTCATTGAAACAGCAGTGGCAATGACAGCTACCCAGTAGATAACTTTGAAGACAATATAGTGGGTACAATCATTTCTTCTTATTAAATATCCCACTGTGATATTTATGACTTGGCATCCATATGTACACAAAAACTAAAACTGAAAATTTCTAAGCTATCTCCTTCTTCAGTTCAACCATAAAAGTTAGCTGACAATTTTCAAAACAGTATTAAGAGAAACATCATTTGTACCTGCTAACCAAGAGTGAACATTGATATCTCTTACAAAGGATTTAAAATTGTCCTCTGCTAACCTTTTAGTGAAATCATAGCTATCATTTAAAATTCTATTGGTAAATAAATTAGTTCATTAAATTAAGCAGTCAAAGTAAACATAACTGCAAAGATCCAAGGAATTAACATGAGATGGTGCTAGTAATTCTCCAAAGGACTAGTTGTTTTCTTTCTGTTCACTTCATAGATTGCAAACTGAAAAGATAAACTGAAATAAAGGTGAAAGCTAGGCTAGGTCACTTTCGTTTTTTCACTTTTATATATCTTTCCCAGGAGATGAAATGGAGACTGAGCTGTAGGTTTGGTATGGCATCATGGATTACATTCAAAATGGAAATTGGTTTTGAGACCCAGCTTGTCAAGCTGGCCTGGAACCCCAGTTCTCCTGATCCAGCCTTTCAAATGCTAGGATGACAGGTATGTGATATTCCAAAAGTCTTAAAGCCGATGTGGTACCAGTGGTGACCTAAGTCTTTCTGAGTGAGGAATTGGTCTCTCAGAAGCCCTTCTGTGGCAGCAGTGATTTGGTTACTGATCATAGTGAGGCCTGGGAAATTCTCAGGGAGGATGTTGGGACGCCACAGCAGAGAACAGTGAGTTTGCAGTTACTCTGCTACTTTGAGGTAGAAATTCTTACCAATCACTGTGAAAATGTTTCAGTACTTTTAATATCTATACAAGCATGCCATGATACATGTTGCATTAGCCTTATCATGGTCATGAGCTTGGAATAGCTGAGGAGGGAGAAAACAATAAAACAAGGGTAATGAACATATTTCCTCTAGAATATTTTGCCCTTCCACTTCTCTGTCCTTGGTGAGATCCTACTCATATTTTAGATTTAACAATCAAGTGTTACAAGGATAAATTATTTGCTCCCAACATGAACTCCATACTTGTTTTCATCCCTCCCATCATGAAAACTAAATGCATCTACACGGCAATTGGTTCAATCTGTTCCTTGAACGAGACTCAGTGGTCTTGAGTACACGAATTTCATCTTTTTTACCACCAGTGTCTTTAGAGGAACAATAAAATCTTTAGATAAGCAAATGGAGAGATTGCTTTAAGGTTTTTACATGCCACATAGGGAAAAACAGGAGGGTAATTAATCTACTGAAAGTTGTCCCGCGCTCTATCTCGCCCGCAAGAATGACGCGGCACACGATCAGGATCCTTCTGCAGTAAGCTTTATTGCTCCTGAGAGGAGGAGCATAAGCTATCACAAAGCGAAGACCCCACGCCCTAACGGGACTCTCCTTATATAGAGAGTTTCTCTCGCCTCGGACGTGGCAGTTAATTACTGGTCCAATTATGTCACCCGAGGTGACGTAAGGCACAGGCACCCCCGGCCTCGTGGGCAGGGAGCTCCTGCTCATGCGCAGCAGAGTTGTCATTGCAACTGTCAGGCGGATGTCAGCGCCATCTCGCCATGGCGTGGTTCCAGGGCAGCGCCCAACATCTCCCCCTTTTTATTTTAATAAAAGCACACAAAAGTGTCCCAACTGGGCTGCATAGGCTAAAACACCCATCCTCGTGCAATGCAACAAAGTCGCTGAGGGTGCAAGGGCTGTTCTGCCGACAGCTAATGGCCACCTCGTCACCAGAGACAGAAACCAGATGAATGGCCTACATCCGTTGATCACCATCAGGCTCTGCAGCCCATCAGGGTTCGAAACAGATGAATATACCCCATATAGCACCTTTCCGCGTGCAATGAGACGAGCTCAGCGGAGTGCAAAGGCTGCAATATCAATGATCACCTTCTCTGGTGCAAATGTCCAAAACATTTCGGACTCAGAGGTGCAAAGGCTGATCTATTGAAGCAGGGGCAGAGAAATATAGCCGGAGTCTGCCAAGGTGACAGGGAAAGCCAGAATGAAATGGGGATAATCAAAGGCTATTCTCCACGCTTTAACATGGTGAGCCAGACCTCCGCCGAGGCCCCATACTCTAGAGCCGCGAGTGCCTGTGTAATCATGACTTTATCTGTTTTTGCCTTTTTGAACACTTTGCAAAACAAAAAGAATAAAATTGCCATTCCGAAGCAGAGAAACATCCCGAAGCAGAGAAACATCCCGAAGAGTCCCACCCCCACCCATTCCTTGAAATAAGAGAAGACAGAAGAGATCCATGACGACAGTCCTTCTTGTAGGGAGACATCAATTCTGGTGGATCGCTGTTCTCAAGTCCTGCAGTATCTGTTCAAATTCGAATGTCCAATTCTGTAAAATGAACTGAGAAAGACTTTTGGACAAATTAGCCGCTCTAATAAAATTTTCATATTGTATTGATGTAACACAAAGTCCAGGCATTTTATATTCACATCCTAACTGCGCCAATTGCCATAAAATATCCAATTGTTCTTGAACCAGGTCGATGCGCTGATTAACCAGCATCAACCCTCCCTGAATTTGAGTATTTGCCGAACTTTGTCGGTCGAGCGCCACTGATACTGATGATGAAAGACCATCAAGAGTATCTGCCGTTTGTACAGATGTGGATAGGGCCATTGCCGAGGCGGTCACAGAGGCAGCCACTGCTGTAGTGGCCACAATGGCTACAATTATGGCCGAGATGCCGAAATCTCTTTTTGTGCGTAGCAGAGACAAGCTACTCGGGGCTTTCACCGGCACGGGCACAAACCTCGGCATTCTAGTCACCACAGCATAAGAATATTTCGTGGCATCCCAGCATAATGTATAAAAGCAGCTCTTGGTATCACATCTTAATTCCTCATTCTCACCTATAAAATTATTGCTTACAATCCATAAAAAGGGGGGCCAAACACAAACTGGTGATGGGGCATATTCTTTTCTAATAAATTCTTTATGCTTCATATCTGAAGCTTGCCAAGTGCCGGAGCCAGATCCCCCTGAAAATTTGCCCTTCCAATTGTAAGAGATTTGTCCTTTTTCCCCAGCTCCTCCTCCTATCATTACCATAGGAGTCAAATCCGTCAAAGGGATTGACCCAAGTTGTCAAGGGTGTCATATTCAAAAAATGATGCCCTAGGCTGGGTGAGAAAGTGAAGGTATTAGGGCCTACCCAGTGTTGATACCTAGATTGACATTCAGTCCAAGGCAGGATATACTCTTCTGATTGAATCCCTTTACAAAATGGGGCTAACTTTGGCTGATCATGGGGAGTAGCATTAGTACTAACCGGCAGCGCCCAACATCGGATGCATTGGCTACAATCTCTAAATCAGTTCCCCAACTAGCCTCGCCTTGCCAGGCAGCCGATTGATTCCTCAAATTAACACAGTTAATACTATTTTTATTATCATTTACTTTGGAAAAATGAAAGCATAAGCTTCCTCTTAAGGAGAGGGAGCGATTTTCTTGTACTGCATGAATCTGATTATCTTGGGGCAAATAAGCTAGCCCTAGCTCTTTATTGGTGAAAAAAATCTAGGAAACACTTGTGCATTATACATCACCGGCATGGGGAGGGGAAAGGTCGACATGATTCCCCATCTTCTTTCTCCCGTTGCCCTCCAGGCTTGAGCCATGATCATTATCATCAGGGTTCCCCATCTTACGAATGAGTCTTTCCGGAACCCAGAACGGATTGTCTTCATCCTGTGGAAAAACACAGACAGCTCCCCTGGACCTTATCAGGATAGGATCCGGGCCTTTCCATTGATTAGTTAGCACATCTTTCCATTTCACCCATTCCTTGGGCCTTTTAGGTTCTGTGCAATGTCGCTCAGCCGCACTCATCCCTGAATCATCCAAGTTCAAAAATTCAGGGTAAAGAGTGACATGGCTATGGCCACTCTCGGTCCAGGGGGTAGCTCCATTATTGCTCCCCCTTTTTGCTTTAATAAATATGATTTAAGTGTCCGATGTGCTCTCTCAATGATGCCCTGACCTTGAGGATTATAGGGCAATCCAGTAATATGAGTAACTTGCATTTGTGCACAAAATTGTTTAAATTTTTGTGAAGTATAGGCAGGCCCGTTGTCGGTTTTAAGACAGCGGGGTTTGCCCCAGGCACTCCAGGCCTCAAGACAGTGCTGAATCACATGAGAAGCCTTCTCCCCTGAAAGTGGGGTGGCAAAAATATTCCAGAACAAGTATCAACAGAAACATGTATATATTGCAATTTACCAAAAGGGACATAATGGGTAACATCCATTTGCCAAACTTGTAAGGGGATCAAACCTCTCGGGTTAATTCCTCGATGGGGGACAGGCAAAAACTGACAGCAATTTTGACATTGTATCACTATATCTCTAGCTTCTTTTCTGGTTAAAGAAAAGCGTCTGCGTAATGTCTCTGAAGTAACATGAAATTTATTATGAAATTCTTTTGCAGCTATTATGGGTGAAGAAAGCGCAACAGCTGCAAGTCTAGTGGCTTGATCAGCGAGCGTGCTCCCTTTGCCATGGGGCCGGGAAGACCAGAATGAGCTCTTATGTGTTCAATAAAGAAAGGATGCCGCCTTTGCAGCAGAGCAGCTCTAATGGCTTCAAATATGTGAGCCACCTTACTAGAAGGTCTAATCAACCCGGCAGTTTCAAGAATTTTAACTGCATTAACTACATATAATGAATCTGAAACAATATTAAGTGGGCCCATAAATTGTTGTAAAACTTCTAATACCACGAGGCATTCAACGACTTGTGGGGAAGATTCAGGAAAATGTTTTATATAAGTCATATCATTTACAACATAGGCCCCTTGTCCTGTTTTAGAACCATCTGTATATACTACTATCCCATTCTTAATTGGGGTATTAGAGGTAATTTTTGGGAAAACTAAAGGCTGGGCCAAAGCAAACTGTAAAAGTGGATGCCTGGGATAATGATTATCAAAGGTCCCTGAAAATGAAGCACATAGGACTGACCAGTCGCTAGAGGTGGCGGCCAAAACCTGTATTTGATCCGGAGTATAGGGGCTAACAATGATATTAGGCTCCAGACCAAAGTATTCTATTGTCATTTTAATGCCTTTTATAACCAATTGTGCAACAGCAGCTGGATACCAATCAACAATTTTAGCAGGGGAAGCTCGAGGATGGACCCAGCATAAAGGCCCTTGTTGCCAAACAACGGCGGTGGGTAGACCTTGTGTGTTCAAGACACATAACAAAATTGGCTGGGTATAATCTATCCTATCCAGCTGGGCCTGAGTTATAGCTTTCTGACTTTGCAAAGAGCCTCGCTTGCCGAGGGATCCAATTTCCTTGGGGAGGTGATATGCGGGTCCCCTTCTAAAATATCAAATAGAGGTTTTAATTCAATGGTGGGAATTTTTAAAAAAGGTCTTAGCCAATTAATATCACCCAATAACTTTTGAAAATCATTTAGAGTTTGTAACTTATCTTTTCTAATTTCAACCTTCTGTGGTCTAATGAAATCAGGTCGGATAACCGAGCCCAGGAATGATCCGGAGTCGGTTATTTGTACCTTTTCAGTGGCTAGGGAAAGTCCCCATTGACTTAATTGCTTTTGTAAGACAGGGAACATTTGCTGTAAAACTGTAAGATCTTGATGACATAACAGCACATCATCCATATAATGGATAGACAGGACCTGCGGGAACTGTCTTTTAACTGGGGCAAGTGCCTGATCAACAAAGAGCTGACAGATGGTTGGACTATTGGCCATTCCCTGAGGCAAAACTTTCCATTGGTATCTCTTATCTGGTTCTGCATGATTTAAAGAAGGTACCGTAAAGGCAAAACGCGGGCGATCAACGGGATGTAAGGGTATGGAGAAAAACAGTCCTTAATATCTATGATCAGAAGGGGCCACCCTTTTGGCAGGGCAGTGAGTAGAGGCAATCCTCGCTGGACCGGACCCAATAGTAACATTTGTACATTAATGGCCCTTAGGTCATGCAACAAGCGCCATTTTCCCGATTTCTTTTTGATAACAAAAATCGGAGTATTCCAAGGCGAAGTGGATGGTTCTATATGACCAAGGCAAAGCTGTTCTGTAATTATTTTCATGATGGCATTCAGTTTCTCGGAGGTTAATGGCCACTGAGGAACCCATACCGGGTCCTCCGTCTTCCATGGTATGGGTCGTGCTGCCTCAGTGGCGCTCAAGAAAAAACCCAAGCCCGTTTTACCTTCATGAGGTCGGGGTGATATAGGGCGGGGATTGCCTTGCTCAAGACGTCCCAAGCCCCGGCCTTCTTGAAACCCCATCTTTTCCATCATGTTTCTAACTGAGGGCGAATAATTATTGGTTAAGGTAAGGCCCATTTCTGTTAGGATGTCTCTACCCCATAAATTAACTGGTAAGGGTAAGACATAGGGGGTAAATTGGCCTCTCAGTCCTTCTGAGGATTCCCAAGTTAGGGCACTAGAGCTGATGTCAGGGCTGGATTGATATCCCAGCCCCTGTAGAGAATGAGAGGACTGTGTGACCGCCCAACTTTTTGGCCACCAATGTGTTGAAATAATACTTTTGTCAGCCCCTGTATCCAAAATGCCCTCAAAACTTTTGCCATTAATTCTAAGAGTTAACTTAGGCCTTGTATTTAGTGCCACAGTTAAATAGGCCGAGTCCGTCCCTGTGGATCCCATCGGACCTTTTATATCTTGTGAAATTTGATCTTTTGCTGGAAGCAATACAAGCTGAGCTATCCTATCCCCCTTATGGATGGAGAAAACACCTTGGGGGCTGGAACAAAGAATTTGAATATCTGGAATATGGTGGTTATCAATTATTCCAGGATGTACAATTAGTCCCTGCGCAGTAAGGGCACCACGGCCTATTATAAGTCCTATCATACCATCAGGCAATGGGGGATGCAAAGGTGCCACAGGCACTGGATGGACCCCCATATGTGGCATTAGTAGGACTGAGGTGGCGGCACGCAAGTCCATCCTGACGTCTCTTGTGGAGTCGTCTCCTCCTCGGAACTGGCCTTGGCAAACTGAGTCCCGTATCTTTGCGGGCCCCGGGATCGGGGGCCCACCTGGCCGTTTTTTGGCTCTTGGTCAGCTGTACCTGGTTTACGGGGGGAAGGAGATTGCCCTTAAGGTCTCTTATGGATCTGCATTGGCTTGCCTTATGGTAGCCTTTCCCACATCTGGCACAGATAGTATCCTGACCCTTTTTAGAGCTCGACATTCTTTTTTAGGTGCCCTGGCTTTCCACAATTAAAACAGAGCCTCCGATCCTTGAAGCCCGTCGGCTTTCTTTGTGATTGAAGAATGGCAGCCGCCAAGCCTGCATTAGTAAGCGGTCCTCCGAGTTCTCTGCATACCCTGAGCCAATCATCCAAACCTTTTCCTTTCCTAGGGGCAATTGCTGTTTTACATTCTTGTGTAGCCTGCTCAAAGATGAGCTGTTCTATCAACGGCTTAACCTGCTCTGTATCTCCAAAATTCTTCCTGCCGCTTCCGTCATCCTTGCCACAAAATCGGAAAACGGCTCCTGAGGTTGTTGTATAATCTTGGTAAGTTGTCCACCTGCCTTCCCTTTCTGCGTAAGTGACTTCCATGCCCTAATTACCAGGGTGGCTATTTGAGCATATGCGCCCCAAGGGTAATTAATTTGGTTCACAGCATAGACTCCTTGTCCTGTAAGCAGATCGAAATTCCATTCTCTCTGCTCTGGGGTGAGTGCTATGGCGTTAGCCCTCGCCTGTGACTGGGCAGCCTCATGCCATAATGCTCTCCATTCCATATATTGCCCCATATTTGGTAATACTGCCTTCACCACCATCTGCCAATCGGCAGGAGTTAGGGGATCCAAGGCAAGCCTTTCTATCTGCATAATAGTAAAGTTGGCATTAGGTCCATAATTACGAACCGATTCTGCCAATTCTTTTATCTGTTTATACTCAACCGGAGTATGTACCCGCCCTCCATTCTCTACTTCAAAACGGGGAAGGTGAGATGGACCTTTCTTCTAATTTTTTCAGGTAAAAAGGAGAAACTATGTAAACGCCCTTCATAAGGGGGGGGAGAGAGCGGCATAGGCGGAGCAGATGGAGTTGCTATCGCTTTTGCTGAGGCCTTGCCCTTGGGTAGCAGTTTAGAGAAAAACTCCCCATCCGGGTGATATCTCTCCGCCTCGTACTTTGTAGCCTCTTCTTCTAGTTCTGTCTCATCTCCAGGGCCTAGAGAGTCTTGTTCGGAATCAGAAGACTCAGAACTGGCGGAGCTGCCGAGGTTCAGCGCCTCCAGTTCTTTAAAAGGATACATTTGACCTGTCCCTTTAGTGGAAAGGCCAGGAAGGGCATCTGGTTTTGCTATAATGTTCTCTCCTAAAACAGGAGGGCTCTTTTTCTTAGTTTTTCTTTTGTATACCTCCGTTTTCTCGCGCGCGCCTGACCTCTCACTACGTTCGGTTTCTGACATGCTATCCTGGGTTACCTCGAGAATGGCCTGACCCTCTACAACGGCCGCCTGGCAAGCTTCATCCTCAATACAGTTCTTCACTAGTTTCCATACTGCCTTGGTCCCTATCCTTAGGTCTCTTTGCTCTAGGTGTCGATCAAGATCCCTCCCCAACTTATTCCATGATGCCAGGGTGAGAGAGCCAGAAAGGGCATACCAGGATGCCACACGATCGACCTCCTTGACAAAGCTCCGTAATGTCTTTCTGTCAACCTTGATATTTCTCTGCTTTAATACAGTCTCCAAGGTAGTTAATATGGATTGAGAGGACCCCATGGTGGCTGCAGCTTATCTACGTCTGACTAATCACCACCGTTACCAATGGTACAGATGACCGCGGCTTATCTACGTCCGTCTTACAGCAAATGGGGAAAAACGAAAGCAAAGGACAGAAGAGACTGTTCAGGCCCCTTTATCTACAGGAGGCTTAGGTGACCAGTATAAAGAAGACAAGAACAATACCAAGGAGGACGATTGCTTCAGGCAAACCCTCCCAAGGCGGAGACAACCCCAGACCAAAGTCCCAGATCAGCATACCTCTCCGAACTTACCTGCCTGCAGTTCTGAATCCTCCTCGTTTCCAAGGGGTCTTCGATGGTGCGGACGATGGCTTGGTCAGTTTCCCGGGTTTCGGCACCAGTTGTACCGCGCTCTATCTCGCCCGCAAGAATGACGCGGCACACGATCAGGATCCTTCTGCAGTAAGCTTTATTGCTCCTGAGAGGAGGAGCATAAGCTATCACAAAGCGAAGACCCCACGCCCTAACGGGACTCTCCTTATATAGAGAGTTTCTCTCGCCTCGGACGTGGCAGTTAATTACTGGTCCAATTATGTCACCCGAGGTGACGTAAGGCACAGGCACCCCCCGGCCTCGTGGGCAGGGAGCTCCTGCTCATGCGCAGCAGAGTTGTCATTGCAACTGTCAGGCGGATGTCAGCGCCATCTCGCCATGGCGTGGTTCCAGGGCAGCGCCCAACAGAAAGTAAGGGGAAAACTACAACTAGAAAAACAGGTAATAGCAAAAATACTTAACAATTATTGAATTATTACTGTGTAATTGTAACTGTCCTGATTGTTCCAACTATCTGTCACAAGCAGAGTCTGAGGACTTTTAAAAATACTTACCTCATGTTAATGTACATATTAATGAGGTTCAGTGTGCATGCATATAATGTATACTGATCTAATCAATTGCCCCCTTTTTACTCTACACACACATACCATTTCCAGTCTCTTCTATTAAATATCCTACTTCTAATTCAGTAAATGACTTAGAAGTCTGTATAAAAGAACATGTAGTATGCTTCTTTGGGCACCTGATCAGATGCTCTTGACTTCTATGTCCTCTCTTCATATTTAACCTAGTCAACATACATCCTTCCTTTGGAGATGGTAGGTATTTTGTATTGCTATTCAAAAATCTGATTGCATATGCATAAGAACAAAGATAATTCATTATAAGAGATAAGTAAAACTACCAAAGATATTTTCTGGTTATCTATTCTATGAACAGATGGTGTGCTTCTGAGAAATATCAAGATATATGAAAGAAAACATTTAGGCAACTGATGTTCACGTGGGTGCTGATTTCTGGCTACAGAACATGCCTGTTGCTTCCTGACATCTGCGATATTCTTCTCTAAGTACCAGGAAAAAAAATACATCTGACAAAGTTATGCGGATTGTGGATTTGCATATCAGTAAGTTATTCTAGCTAGCCTTATAAGGCATCAGCTAACCAGGAACTCAAAAGGATGATTTCAGATCCTGTTGCATAACAGACAAAACAGAAAGTGTATTCACTTTGGAATCCAATAAGCCTGAGTCCAACATTTTGTGCCTGCAACTTGCATGCTGGGTAGTTTTGTTTTATTTTATTTTACTCTATTTTCTTTTTAGAGAGGGTCCCATGTACCCAAGGTTGTCTGTGAACTCCTTATGTACCCAAGGAAGACCCTGAAGTGTTTTTACCTCCTGACTGATGGGACCACAGCTCATACTGGGTAATCGTAATAGTTTGAACTGGCAGGGCTGTCTTTATTTCTTTTCCTTTTGCTGTAATAAAAATACCCAATCAAAAGCAACTTAAGGGAGAAGGGGTTATTTAATCTCATAGTCCAAGGGTATAATCCATCATAGCAAGGAAGTTAAAGTAGAAGGAATTTGGCCACATTTCATCCACAGGCAAGAAGCAGAAGGCAATGGATGCTGATGCTCAGCCCACCTTCCTCTTTGTGTAAGTAAGGTCTAAGGCCCAACCCGAAGAATATCTCTGAGTGTGTATCTTCCCTCCTCAGCTAACCTAATGAACATAATCCCATACAAGCATGGCCATAAGCTAAGTAATCTCTCATATGTCTGCCAGAAGCCTTGTCTTTCACCTAATTCTAGATTCTGTCAAGCTAACAATTGCACTAAGTATCACAGAAGCTTAAGTTTCTTTATCAGTAAAATAACGTGGAAATGCCTCACCTGCTGCTTGTTATAGGAGTCTGTCAGAGGCCATGGAACTATTCATCAGGTGAAAACTAGTGTTCAGATGTCAACCCACCAGAGGAATGATTCTCTCTCTGATAGAGGAGAATGCCATTTAGGCAAGGCCAAAGGGTCCTCAACTCTGAAAACTGTTGCTCCTATCTGTAATTTCACATATGCAAAAGCAGGTATAGTGTCTCTCTTTTTTATACTGCAATGTGTAACCTCAGGTGATGTGTATTTGCAATCTTGTAACTGTATCTCAATCTAATAGTCACATATACCTGTGGATAATCAGGAAGACAAGTTCTCATTAACTGCATAATTTTGATAAATAGAAAATATACTAGGATATGCTTCATAACCTATTGTCCCTCGGTGGCTATAAGACATTTAAAAGATTTCTTTGTTCCTTTAACTCATACTAACATAGAAAACAATTTCTCCTCAGTCTAAGACAAACTACACACATTTTTACCTCAAAGCAAGTTCAAACTAGACTGAATGTTTTGTTTCTATAAACAGATCATAGGTTAAAAATGTTACAGATATATATATATATATAAAGACAAAGTCACAGATGTCTAACCAAGGTTATTAACACAAAGCATCCTAAGAAACTATGCCAATCCTTTGCTTGCTGAAGTCTGGCTTATAAAGACCTGACTCTCTGTGAAGATCTCCTTTTCAGCTTGTCACAATCTTATATCAGGAATCTTGAAACCTTGTGTTGCCGTGGAAAATGGTTCTGCCCCTTATCATTTACTCAAGGAATATGCTATGACCTTAAGAGGTAGCTTTGCAACTTCTTTATTATTATAAAGAGCCTCCTGTAAAAAATGTGTGTGTGGAGAACAGAGAAAAAAGGAAAAATAATTAAAACTTAGAAGAAATTAGAAACTAGTAGAAATTATAACTTAGAATTGAAGCTGTAGAGGTAGAATTAGAGCTGTAACAGAAGGATAGACAGAATAAGAAAGAGCATAACTTGAACAGCATGTATGTGAATTTATTCCATATTCCTTAGATAGGAGAAGTTTAAGTTCAGTTTTGATATGCTGTGGACATTCCTCATATGGAATAAGGACAGTTTTGATATGCTGTGGACATTCCTCACATGGAATGTAGCCTTAAGAGATGATCTCTTGAGCTACAATAGGAGTCAAACAAAAATAAAGCAACTAAATAATTACAGGCATTTAAAATAAAGCTTATCTAAATTTCAAAAACATACCAAAGCTAAGCATTGCTAAAATGTGGTAGTGGAAGGCCCAGGACTGAAGGGTCATGCAGAGAAGTTGAAGATTGGCACCATGAGAACTTATGAGATGCTATTGGTGAAATGCAGTCCAGTTACAGCAGAAGACCATCACATTTTGGAGATGCCAGTGCCATGGAATGACCACCAAGAACAGCAGCAGCAGTGGAGTAGAGCCAGCAAGAGTCTAGAAACGGTTTGTCCTGCAGAGGGTGAAGCCAGACAAGTGACCCAAGCCCTTTGGAAGAGTCCAGAAGATGGTGAGTGGATCCCAGATGTTGGATGGTAGGATTTTGGTTTTGATTTGATTTGATTATGACTTTGCCCTGATTTTCCCTCTTGAAATAAGAAAGTATATTACTGAAGGCCATAGTTAGAGACTTTCCATTTTAAAAGACTTTGGATTTTAAGAGATTGGCTATTTTAAAAGGACTGAAATTTTAATGTATATGAATTTGGAAAGAATGTGGAACTTTTAAAGTTATTTATGTTTTTAATGTGAGATCTTGTGATGAATAAGAAAGCAAGGATTGTGGCTTAATAGTGATGTGTTTGTGTATCAGGTTGACAAGGGGTTGGTTGTACTGGCTATTTTTGTGTGTCAACTTGACACCAGATACAGTAATCAGAGAGGAGGAGCCTCAGTTGAGGAAATGCCTCCATGAGATCCAGCTATAAGGAATTTTCTTATTTAGTGATCAATGGGGGAAGGCCCAGGCCATGGTGGGTGGTGCCATCCTTGGCTGAGCAAGTCATGAAAAGCAAGCCAGTAAGAAGCACCATTCCATGGTCTCTGTATCAGCTCCTAACTACAGGATCCTGCCCTCTTTGAGTTCCTGTCCTGACTTCCTTCAGTGATGAACAGCAACGTGGAAGTGTAAGCCAAATAAACACTTTCCTTCACAACTTGGTTTTTGGTCGTGGTGTTTTGTCACAGCAATAGAAACCCCAACTAGACAGCCTAATAGGACATTGAGGAAAACATAACTGAGATAAAACCTCTGTTAAAAATCTCTCTTGATTTTAAATTGCCTTCATTTTGCCACAGAAGCAGCCTAACCCCACCTTACCCAAAGCTCTAAGGCCCTCCCAATAGGCTCTGGTTCAAAATCATGAGTCCCTTATTTGGTTATTAAGGGTTGGATTCATGACATGAGATGCTTTTTACTTACTCTTGAATGCCCATGAGCTGCTTGAATACTGGTAACCTACCAGATGATTGACTAAGCATTACTTGAATTCACTTATTTAAAAAAACTTATTCAGTGCTAGAATCTGTATTAATTTCTGAGCTCTTTAGCTTTTTGTAAAAAAAAATATGGCTATATCCCTTGAATTATTCATGGGATTGTTATTATTATTATTTATTAATGCTTGCCTGGGGATTCAGAAAGCAAAGTCAGCCACAAGTCATAGAAGCCAGGCACACACCTTTAATCCCAGCGGCAGCATCCAGGAGGTGCTGGTACACACCTTTAATCCTAGGACTCAGAATTAAGAGGTAAATGGATCTCTGTGAGTTCAAGGCCACCCAGATCAGCACCTAGGATCACACTCCTTTAATACCAGCATTAGGGAGGTATATAAGACAGGAACAAGGTCTCCGTATTGAGCATTCATTCTCCAGTCACACTGAGGATAGGAGGCATTCATTCTCCAGCCACACTGAGAATAGTAATACCCCAAACCTGTTAGAGGTAAGAGCTCTCTGGTAGCTTGGCTGCTTTGCTTCTCTGATCTTCAGGTTGAAACCCAGTATGTGTCTCTGGGTCATTTATTTTTCATGTTACAGTGTTGGTTACCGCAGCATATATGGACCTTTACATCTGAAACACTGCTGTAGAACCACCCTGCATCTCCTTGTCCCCTAGTGGGCTCAACCTAGCCAGTTTGTACTGCTTGCTT